ACTGCTTTTGTTTTTTCGGGATTTTTTTTTTTTTTTTTTTAAACACTTTTTTAGGTTTTGAGTAAAGTAGTTTGAGTTTTTGTTTTGCCAAAGTGTGTCTCGCATGCCTTTCTTAATATAGATTCAGAAACAGCTATACAGAAAATTATTTATACCATAAGAAATTAAAACTCCAAAAAATGCTACTTACCTTTATTTTATTAAGGCTGCAAATTTGTCCCTAATGTAGTTGCTCCTGTGCTGCTTTAAAATCAATCTGTTTCACATCTTGTTACATGGTAAACTGGGGACAGCACTAAGGTATGTTCTATGTAATGGAAGTGAAAGTGTGATCCAACCAATGAGACCAGAGCAACATATTGTTCTTTCTACCATCCTCCACACTGTAATTCCTTCTTATGCGCTTCATCTCTATCTTGTGGGATGAGAGAGTTACTCTCTCATCCTAAAATTGGTCCGTCAGTAAGACTTTGTGCCAGCAGTATGCTTCAGGTTATTAAAAATGAATGATCCAACACCAAAATTAGTCATTACAAAACAACAGCAGAAGAAATCGTCATCTCATGTTTTGCTATTTAAAGCAATTTCACATACCAAAAGTGAACGGAACAGGCATCTCTCCAGTCTGTTGTGTTGTTGCATGCAATTATTTCTGCATGCTGAGTTGATTTGCAGTATGGAAAGAAGAGAGATAGGGATGGGCGGGGATGAGAAGGGATCTGCTCTTTCTATACACCCATTCCCATTTCCTCTCTATCAGGGACGTTGTGCACAGTAACAGGCAGGCTCCTGGGGGTTGTGCTGTGGTCTGCATGGCCCCTTGGGGGGCCCAGACTGGGCCCATCCAAAACCATGTTTAGAACCAGAGGAGATCTGGAGCTTTAAGGCTACTTTGTTTTTTGTTTTTTTTGTCTTTCGAATGCATCTTCCTCAGAAGCCATGTTCTTGCTTAAGCCTCTGAAAGAGCTGCGGGCTAAAAGAAAAGGTACACACTTGTGTTGTGTGTGTGTGTGTGTGTGTGTCTGCACATATGCGCTTCCCGATATCTTTGCTTAGATGTTTTCATTTTTCATGACCGTTATCTTCACCAAAAACGAGTTTTTTATCATTTCCTTGCTGGATCGTTGATCCCGTTTGCTTGTTTTGCTGCTGTTTGTTAAAGCGTGCTTGTTGAGTTTCCTCCTCAGTTCTTTCTCTGCAGCTCTAAATGGGTCAGTTGGAACAAACACATAACCTTCACTTGAACTGACATCCTGGGTGGACTGTGACCAACCCAATCTGGTCTGGACTGGTCTAGAAAAATATATGGGGCTGTTGGTGTATTGGTACAGCCCTTCTTCTAATGGACCATTTAAAGTGTGTAGACACTGTGACGGAAGTCATGGTTTTGCTATGTGTTGCTACTTTTGCTAGTTGTAAGATACCCCTCCATGCTTTTGTGGAAATCTGACCAGAGATTTTCGCAGACATGGAAGCAAATGAGCAAATGAAGAGCAATGCAAAATGCCACAAAATCTGTTGTTTTTCAAAAAAGGTTTGTTATGTATGACACTGCACAACACAAAGCTCTATGAACTTTGTGTTTATAATGAATGAATTTCTGTGTTGATGCTTTAGTTCATTATTTCTTTAAAAACCGATTGCATCCCATTTTATACTTTATCTTCTCTGTCCTCTTCTGCTGGCTCACCAGGCCTTCAGCCAGGGAAACTGGCAGAGTGGAGTTCTTCAGGTCCAGAGCCCAACACTAATGGTCACGGTTCTGCTTCAACACTGCCACGAATGAACTCTCACTCCAGCTCTAACACAGACCAAGGTAAAGACACAGGCACATACTGCACACGTGCAGAAATAAAGTGTAATCCCTTCCTGTTCCTATAAAACAAGATTTTTTTTTCTTTTATTTTTTTCCCTCAAACTGTGTTGAAACTAATTTCTTCATCATCTTCTCCGTTTGTTTTGTGGCTAGATGATTCAGAATTGAAGAGGGACAGGAAAGTGCGTCCATATTCCATGTTTGAGCCAACAGAGGCTCCGGCTACCTCCCTCCGCAAAAACCAGAGCAGTGATGACCTTGTCAGGGATGCTCAGGTGAGGGGGAATGAAAACACACTTTTTATATCATCATGAGAAAAAAAAATACTAGAAAGATTTGTTAATACCTGTAGAAAAAACCCTAGCTTATTTACTATCTTTCTCTTTCCTCAACTTCCATCAGTCGGCTCCCAAAGCTCCAGTCAAGGTACCTCCCCCTGTCCCCAGCAAACCGAAAGGCCCCGTTATTGTTCCCTATGGCAAACCAGGCCTCAACACAGGCACCTTCCCTAAAGCCAAGCCCCACAGCCAGCAGCCCCACACCGCCCAGAGCCGCAGCCCTCACCCACCCTCACAGAGCCAGACACTCCCTCTACCCTCCAAGCAGGACACTCCACCTGCAGCCACGGTACGGCCCTTCACCTCAGACCTCCCCTCCTCCAAAGAAGCCAACCTGAGTAAACCGCAAATCGTAGCTGCCAGCTCCATTTACTCCATGTACACACAGCAGTCGGGTTCAGGAAAGCCTTTCCTGCCTGTTGTGCAGGGTTCTCTCAACAGGGCTCAAAACCGCACCAACGGATTTGTCAGTGGTAAGAATATACATTAAGCATCTTTGCATACACAGTTGATGTAGATGGATTCATATATAAAAATTGAAAAGGAAGTTTATCAAAGTCCTGAATCTGTCCACAGAATCTTTTTGTATTCCACACTAACTCTGTAAAATAATATAGCCCATTCATTTAATGAGGAAGACGAAACGGGGAAAAAAAAACCCTACTTGTTGTAATTAATAAATTAAAATAAATACAAAAAATAATCAAATACATTGTTATTATGAATTGCAATTTAATAATAGAAAGCATAATGATTATGCTGTGACATGGTGAAGGCTGCTGTAAAGAAGCTCCATCCTCTGAATATCAAGTTAGTAGAAGTAGAAGGGAGAGAAGTGGTGAAATGTGTCCAAAAAAGAGCTATGCACCAAAAAATTTCTTCTTTTTTTCTCTCTCGCTGTCTTAAACACTTGTTTCCCGTTTTTTGTTTGTAGTGTATCGTAAACCACTGATCTCCAGTGGAGGCTCCCCACATCCAGAGAATCCATACTTAGAGCGTCGCTCCCCAGCCCCAGAAACTGAACTTGACAACAATGGAACCAACAACACAGGCTCCAGCTCATCTGAGGGGCAGCAGCCAGAGACAGAGCGCATCCCCCGGCCACTCAGCCCTACCAAGCTGCTTCCCTTCATTTCCAACCCCTACAGGCAGAGCGATGGTGACCTGGAAGCCCTGAGAAAGAAACTCTACAATGCCCCTCGGCCTTTGAAGAAACGCAGCTCCATCACTGAACCAGAGGGTCCGGCAGGGCCCAACATTCAGAAACTCCTTTATCAGAAAACTACCCTGGCAGCTATGGAGACCACTGTGAACACACCAACCACTCCCACGTTTACTGGAGAAGCAGCGAAAGCGGTGGAAGGATCAGCCGGACCACATGGTTCAAGCCTTCCGACTGGCACCGAAAACTACCCATCAGAGAGAGGACAAACTCAGGAACCCTCACAGACCACAGGTATCAACACTCCACTCCCAGCCTTTACTGAACAGCCCTACACACCACCGGCCATCCTGGAGACTGAGGAAATTATTCCCCCTCCTCCACCATCCCACCCAGCCCCAAGGCCAGATGATGCCCTTTTCCCACCGCCACCACCTCCTGGTCTGGAGGACACAGAACCTAGTTTGCCCCCTCCACCTCCAGAAGGCTTCCTGGAAGAATTCCCCCCATACCCACCACCTCCATACCCCAGCGGAGCAGAGCAGGACAGCTTTGGAGAGGACACCTTCAACATGAAAGCACCTGAGGTCACTGGACAGGTCACTCTGCCACCGGTATGAATCTTAATCTGTAGAATCTCAATTATAACATGGCTGTTAGCTGTTTGTTTTTGAAAGAAGAACTAGTCATTGCAGTCCACAGGAGACACTACCTGTGTTGGTATTTGTGCTGCGTGCATTTTGTAAATCCTCTCACATGTTTGTTAGGGGCACATCATGAGTTACACTTGGCCCTGCTGAACACCAGTGACCTGCTCTGGTGTTATATAATTGAATAATCACCATCAAGCACTGCTATTGTTTCAGGAGAAAATGGGCTTCATTCTGCTCTCTTTAAGCCGATATCCACCCCGCTTTGCGCAGTTTACACATTCTCTTAAAAATAAACACCAGTTTACTTTTTCTTGTTGCTTAACTCCTTAAGCGGTTTTGATCTTAAGGTAGCAGGTTGTAACACTGAGAAATCAGTGTTATGACCCATTTTCCAGCCCAGTCCCCTCCTTTTGTTACCTCAATTTGAAAGCTAAAGAACCTTTTTTCCATATCGGGTTGCATAATCGTGGTGTTGGAGGAATTAATTAGTTTTTTTCAGCTTGCGTTCATAAACTGGATTAGCTTGCTGGAAGCACAAGTCCCTCATTTGCTTTAAGCCCACACTGAGGGCAAGAGCAAGTGGACGTCTCCTCTCTCTGAGATTTATATTTTTTTTCTGTGCTGTTCAAGATCGTTTATGTGTATGTGATACACTATTATGGTTGTGTCTTTAGGGAAAGAGGACCAATCTGCGCAAGCCTGGTTCTGAACGTATCGAGCACAACATGAGAGTCAAGTTCAACCCACTGGCTCTGCTGCTGGACTCTTCTCTGGAGGGAGAGTTTGATCTGGTTCAGAGAATCATCTACGAAGTAAGAAATCTCTCCCACAAGCTTGTTATATATTATATTGTCACTCCTGTTGGTAATCTGCTCTGGTATTATACTAGTATTTCACTTCTTGTGGTTTCTGAATCACAGGTGGAAGATCCAAGTCAGCCCAATGATGAAGGCATCACTGCTCTACACAACGCTGTCTGTGCCGGCCATACGGAGATCGTAAAGTTCCTGGTTCAGTTTGGTGTCAATGTTAATGCCGCTGATAGTGACGGCTGGTAAGTTCATGCTCGCTGCTGAGCACATTCATTTTATTTTTGCTTTACTGTTTTTCTTTTTTCCTAATACGTGTCACATTTTCTCCTCTTTGTTTTTCCATTTTTTTCTTTATTTTTTCAATTAAAATAAATAGGACACCTCTTCACTGTGCTGCATCCTGCAACAATGTGCAAGTGTGCAAGTTCTTGGTGGAGTCTGGAGCAGCAGTGTTTGCTATGACTTACAGCGACATGCAAACGGCAGCTGATAAATGTGAAGAGATGGAAGAAGGCTACACCCAGTGCTCTCAGTTCCTCTATGGTCAGTAAAAGCTGTTTTGTCTCTCCATTATTGTTTCCTGTCTTGTGAATGTTATTTTTTTCCCCCCTCCCTCTTTCAACAAAAACTCAGTGTTTAAAATGTCATTTTTCCTCAGGCGTGCAAGAAAAAATGGGTATCATGAACAGGGGTGTGGTCTACGCCCTTTGGGACTACTCTGCTGAAAACCCTGATGAGCTCTCGTTCCACGAGGGAGACTGCATGACCATCGTCCGCAGGGAGGACGAAGATGAGATCGAGTGGTGGTGGGCGCGCATGGGCGACACTGAGGGTTACATTCCCCGCAACCTCTTAGGGGTGAGTTATGAATCAGCGTATTATCAGTCTAGTATTCTAGGTGTTAAAATGTGGATTATTAATATGTTTTTTGTGTTGTCCTCTACAGCTCTACCCCAGAATAAAACCAAGACAGAGGACGCTGGCTTAAAATACAGGAATCCCTGCACATTTCCACTCTGGCAGAACTTTGAACACACACATATGCACAGGCTTTAATAGACTGGTGAAGAAAAGGACACCTTGTGAGATGATAAGATGAGGACAGACCAAACAATATGAAGGATCAAATGTTTCCGGCACTTTTCTGTATCGACAAAAGAGAGGGAGTAACCCTTTCTTATTTTTTTCTTTTCTTTTCTTCTTTTTAATTACAGGTCACACTGTGTACTGTGTGCTTATGACACTAAAGGCTTTCTTTTCATTTATTTCCACTGCTTTTGTATTTAGTGTCTGGAATGTTGTCTGACGTCACAGTGGGATGTAAAAGGAACAAACAGTATTTTTTATTCATTGAAAGTGATTTTTACACATTGGAGTAGTCTTTTAAATCTTATGTCTGGAATACTGGTTATTTTTTAACAAACCCTACGACTCTGTGTTGCATGAGGTTAATGAGTGGAGGGTGATGATGATGCTTTTGAAACACTGTTACTGTGACAATCTTTCAGGGCGTATTTGTCATCGCCTGTGTTAAGTCACTGTGCCTCTGTACAACTGCCCTGGAGCTGTAAAGTTTCAGCCGTGACCACTGCTGTTCTGGCTAAACAATTAGAAGAAGAAATAACAGCTGGGGGGGAATACAGCGCCGAAGCTGTTTGCTTTATCTCTTGCTGTACGTTCTGTGGTCAATGACACCTCAAAAGCTGGCTTGCTTTCCTGCAGTTGCACGTGGTTGAGATGCCACAGATGATGTGTATACATGTGTTTGTGTCATAAAAGTTAGCTAAATGTCACTGTAGGAGTTATTTTATTACAAAACTTCATAAGAGGCTGTCTGAGGACACAGGAGAATAACATGCAGTATGAGTTTGATACAGCCATTCTGTGAAGACAAAGCTGTCACAAACCTTTTCCAAGTAAAATCGATTCCTAAAAGCAAAAATAATTAAAATAAGATGTAGCTTGAAATATCTCAAGACTCAGCTCACCACATATCAATCAGTGCTGATGTATTTATTTTTTTTGTTACTTAGCCATTTTGTCAGAATTGTAACCACATATGTATTGTAGTATTTCAAACATTTACAATAAAAACTTTGTACTAAGTCGCTGTAATGTAATTTCTTTTCAGGTGTCTTACAATCAAAAGGAATCAAACATGAATTAACATTAAGCCACACATTTATATGCACAACAAAAAAAATTATATAATCAGTGTGGGGGGGAAAAAAATTCTCATGGCCTTGTTACAAGTTATTCGCTGCCATCTGCTGGACAGTAGTTGACACTACATAGTGATTTTCTCGTCTTCACAGGCTCTGTTAGTCATTATAAAACGTGGACACAAGATTTGAAACTGACGTTAACACAAGTATGTGCAGTGGTAAATAGATGAAGGATGAGTAACTTTCGCTGACTTGAGACAGAGACCTTTTTAGTGATTCTTTGTGAAGATGCCAACGAGGAGCTGTTTGTGTACATGCCCATCTTGCATCCATATCAACACACAAAAACCGGTGTACCAAAGTGCTTACCTATCTAATCAGCCAATCACATGGCAGCAAGTCGACGCATTTAGTCATGCAGAAACAGCGTCAGAATGGGGAGAAAAAGGTGACAGAAGGGAAGAATGTGGCATGATTGTTGGTGTCAGAAGGGCCGAGTATTTCAGAAACTGCTGATCTACTGGGATTTTCCCACACATCCATCTCTAAGATTTTCGGGGAATCGTCCAAATATCCGGTGAGCACAGCTGCTATGGATGAAAATGCTTTGCTGAAGGGAGTCCAACCTGACCACTGCTCAGCCAAACCATTATTCAGAGTCTGAAAGATGTAAAGGAAAGCGCAAGAGGGTATGGAGAGCTGATTTGTTTTTATCATGCCAAACATGACTTGTAGCTATATTAAACATAAATACTGTACAGCCTATTAATATGATGATTTTTTTCTGGGTATTTTCTTACTAAAAGGCAGATGTGTGTCATCGGTATTGACTCATCTTAGGACTGACAAGAGAACAGTGTTCTATATCACATTAATTATTCTACTGTGGAAGCAGCACAAACAAACATTATTAACAGTAACAAGACATTAGGGACATTGAAAATCCCTCTTATATTACACTTCAGTGTGTTTAAAAAAATTACTGAATGTTGCAGTATAATGACTTCATTTCCTTTTAATCACCTTTCTCCAAATGAGAGCAGAGCGTATGGTCCCAACAGAGTGGAGCCAAGGAAAGAAGCATTATAGTTGGTGTATCAAGTGCTGTGTGTGCTATTTCATCTTCTTCTGCAGGATGAACAAATAACAGGGCTGATGTACTGCTTATGAGGTAATGTTAAGCCTACAGTGCACTTATATAACGTGCTATTGAGATGCTTATTGCATGTTTGTTACCTGATTATTACAGTCCAAAAGGGAGGAGCCATCAGTTCAAATTTAAACGGATGTTGCTATTCAGTTTCGCTTTCTAAATTTCTTTATTGCTAAAAGTTGGGAAATCTGTCACAGTACATGTAAAACTGTCACATTACATTAGAAAAGTGCAACTAGTTAATTCCACAAAGAGAAGAAAACTTCAAAGCCACTGCAGCAGCACAGTTCAGCTGATCAAACAGCCTGTCCACAAAGAGAACAGGTCCAGCAGAGCTCAAAGTGCAAATCAACTTTGGTCATTAATTTGAGTCATTTTTTTACCCACAGTATTGGATTTTAGGTGCCTGGTAAATCCCATTTTAACAGTTATAACTCAATAATGTCTGTGGAAAATATTATTATAAAAAATATACGTCAGTGATGGGCTTATATGGTATAATATACAGCCAGATCACCAGCTTCTTCAAGTAGCATGTGCTAATGACAGATAAAGATACCTGTTGAACAAAAACAAAACAAAAAAAAAAATCTGCCCTGTTTGTCTGCAGCTCTCTGAAAGGTAATTCCACACATAGTGAGGCAATTTCCATTCAAAGTCATATTTCTAAACCTTAAATAAATTGCTATTGTAAACACTTAGTTAAACATGTTGAATCTTTGGAGTTAATGGAGCAGAGTGTGCAAAATCCTTGCTGAATTAAAACAAGGAGTTGAGATAAATGGCTGAATTCAGCAGCAACAGTGCCCTCTGAACATGACAAACTGCATCCATTATCGATGCATGCATTCATAATACATTAAAACTTCGGTATAAACAAGTGTATTATGACAGATAGCGTCTGCAGTTTTCTTTCATAATTCAGCTCCAATTGATCTCTGCAGTCCAGCAGAATGAGCCCTTTGTGTTTTTATATAAAGACCTACAGGGCTCGTGCATTAGATTAAATACAGTCCTATGTATATCAATTCTTGGGATAGCAACAGGGGAGAGTGAAGGAACCGGTTTTCCTCAAAGACGCCTTCATTAAGTGTATAAAAAACATTTGTATTTCAGTTCTCACAAGAAGTGAAATCCTGCTCACCATGAATATTACCACATCTAAAAATGCTATTTTTAACCAGGGGTCTGGATGGGACCAAAAGCTATAGGCATGAGAGAAGAGATGGGGAGTCACAGGAGCAATTGCCTCTGCATGCCTGGATGTGGGTAATGTGACTCTTCTAGTAGCACACAAAAAGGAATTTATTAAACGGGACAATTGTAGCAAAGACCACAGGAACATCTTTAGTTTCAAACACATGCTGTTCTCTGCAGTATGCAAATATACATCTTGCACAGCCACACAACTTTTAAAGGTGGTGAACCCACAACATATACTCAATGCACACTTTATTAGGTACACTTGTTCAACTGCTCATTAATGCAAATAATCATTGAATGCATCTAAACAGCAGTAATCAAATATATTTTTGCATGTATATTTTGCGGGTATAGGAAGAATGAGGAAGAAAAGGGGTTTTTTTTATATCACTTTATATGTGGCGCACTTGATGGGGACAGATGGGCTGATCTGCTGGGATTTTCCCACTCAACCATCTTTAGGGTTTTACAGAGTGGTTAGAAAAAGAGAAAAATATCCACAGCAGCAGTTATCTGGGTGAAAAGGCCTTGTTGATGTCAGATGTCAGAGAAAGGCCAAACTGCTTCAAGCTGATGGGAAGGCAAGTGACTGAAACAACCACTCCTTACAACCAAGATATGTAAAAGAGGGCTTGGGCTAGAGCAGCAGAAGACCACACAGGGTGCCACTCCTTTGAACATTTTTCCAATGTCCTGATTGGAAAAACGTTGCCTGGTCTGATGATTCTCAATTTCTGCTGAAACATTCAGATGGTCAGACTTTGGCACTTATACAGCATGGATCCACCCTGCCCTTTTCTGTTTTTTAAATTTATTTCATTTGATTCTTGAATGAGGTAATCAGTCACGTTAACCTAATCACTTTTCAGTTGAACTAATCAGTGGTTTTGCATCTTTCTTCTTAGATTATATGTTAATGTATGCAGCACTGCGTTTCTTCTACCTAACCAGGTCCATCCTCCTCACTAAAAGTTGATGGGATTCAATTAGGGTCAGTGTTCCTCCTAGTTCTGCAGTCATTATTAGAGCACAGGTTGGACTACCTGCTGATGTTTCGCTTCTTTAACCCTGAAACATCTCAGGGTGGTGGAGCAGCAGTTGAGATGTCTCCTTTCTACGCCCTGCAGTTGGCCCTGGGATCCCAGAGGTGCTGCTCTAGTATAACCTCTGCAACCAACTTTTTCTAGGAATGTTAAAAGCTCGATTTAAAGGAAGGATAAGTGATGACCGGGATGACAGTCTTGGTCAGAGAAGGTTCCCAGAGGCGATTTTCTCTGGGAACCTGAGAGCACGGTTGAGATCCACTCCCAAGATCAGCTTTCGCCTCCCGGGAACACTAGGGACCGTATCTACTGTGAGCTGACGTGGGCCTGATCCTCCTTCCTGATGAAATGGATCTGCCTCTGGGATGTTACTGCACTGTTGCTATTTCCCTCCAGCCTTGTACCTCCAGTATTTCCGCCAGCTTATGCAGAACCTGGATGTGTTGCTGTCTATACCGGCAGCCTCAACAGAAAGGCCCACATGGTCGTTCTGTTGAGTATCACTTCCCAGGCTGTCCATCTCCCTTGATGCTGGCCAACAGCCTTGATTTTGTATGAGTCCTCTTCCACCTGCATCACCTCAGAGATCACCAGATCTTTTCTCTTCTTCTTGGGAGCTTTGGACCAAACCTTGGGTGTGGGCCACCATCCAAGACCCATCCTGCCTGGTTTGAGGCACACCTGCAATCTCCTGGTGCTTCAATAAGCCGATGGCTTAATCAACTATCTGCGTCTCAACATATGAATGAAAGTCTCGTCAGAACATTTACATTTTTTTTGTAGTTTTATTAAACTCTTAAAGCTTTTATTTTTTATCAGTAAAATATTATTTTTAATGAACTTTTATGGGTTTTTTTGTAGTTTTTTTTCTTTTATTTGTTTATTTATTAATTTTTTTTTATTATTTTTGTTTTGCATTAGTATTGAAACTAAGGACAACCTTAGTAATTTGTGACCTTACCTTATTACAACCAGGATTATCATTATAAGACTAATGTAACAGACAGTGGTGGAGTCTGTGTAAAGCTGAACGGCATCATTTTGTATTACAGAGAGTGGTTTGTTTTTCACCAGACAGTCAGGAAAACAGGAGAAAATGTGCAGCAGGGAGCGGGACTGCTGCAGTCTCTCATGAACAAACTGAAGGTCGACAGGCTGTGTGTGCGTGTGTGTGTGTGTGTGTGTGTGTGTGTGAGAGAGAGAGGGAGAGAGAGAGAGAGAGAGAGAGAGTGCGTGTCTACATCTTAGAGATGAGCTACTGAAGAAACTTTATCTTTCGTACTTGTAAGCATGACAAAATCTACTCATAAAGTGAGATATAATCTCTATTTTGTCATACGATGTATTCAAAATAGAGATTAATAGATATTGTTGAATTGGTTTTCCCTCAGACTATTTTAAAAGCATTTAAGGGAGTTAACTGTATACTGATTAAATTTACAAACAGCATTAAATGCTAAATAAATAGCTTAACATAATCTTTTTCTCTTTGTCAGAAAATACCAAAAATACAAATATCTAACAAAATAACTTAAATTTTATATTAATTTTATTTACTGTGCACATCAATTAACACCAACACTTGTAAAAGTGCCAGATTTTTTTTAAAAAATCTGCTTATAAAAGTAAACTTGTAAAACTTGTCAGCTCAGCTCTGTGTAATTTTATCCATGTCCGCTAGGTGTCAGTGTGGAGCCACGGCACAACTTTAAATGAACTGTGTTGCTTTTTGTTGCCCACCTTTTTAACCTCCACTTTACCTCTGCACCGCAACTCCAAGTGGAGGTGTTTGATGGGATAGTGAAGAAGTATAACAGCAGTATAACCGGTGATAAAAAGCCAAAGATATCTCTTGATTCAACGTAAATAAAAAAAAAAAGTAAGCGTCGCGGGAGGGCGTGCCACCTGTGACGGCAGCTGAGTGGACGAGCTGCGAGTCTGCGCCTCTGTCAGTGCTGCGTGTCTTTCAGCGGGTGTTTGCGAGAGTGCACAGGCAGGAGTGTAAAGTCCACTTGGATTATCTGAAGCTCGAAGAAACATACATATCTTTTTCTGCGCACGAATACAGGTAAGACAGCCGACACACTACCCGATCTCTGCAGGGATACGAGATACCTACCAAATATATGATTTAGGCTCCCGTGATAATACCTTTATATCTCTTTAGTGTCAACGGCGGTGCTATAGTAAGAGTGTCTACAGCGTGATTCTCTTTAAACAAATTACTCCTTTCAGTTATTGTTATACAGATTTCCTACATTATATTTCCTGCATGTTTAAGAATACTTACCTGTCTATTTTTCTTCTTTCTTTTTCTCATTTACATTAAAAATAAATCATTTCGGTTCATTTCTGTGTCAAAATTGAGCCTTAATTGAGAGCATACTGTGTTATAACTTAGTGGATAAGTGCGAAATCTGTTTTGCATATGAAAAAAAGCCAGCTGAGCAGTTGTGATCAGAGCAGTTTAAACACACCGTGATCGTGTTTAAGGTGCTGGAAGAGGTTGATTGATCTGATAAAGGTGGCCATCTCCTGTCCAGCCATGGTGATCTAATTATCATTAGGCCTGCATTTAAATCAGTGTGGATCCGGTGGACCCGCTTCTCTACCTGTCTATTTAAATAAATTAAATAAATTAAAAAAAAAAATCATGACTTGAGAGGTAAGAGGAAGAAAACTGTTGGAAGACCTGTGAAAAGAAAGGTGTTATTGTTATGCAGATAGTGTCCTCGATGGTCATTTCTTATTTAACTCAAAGGATTGGTTAGCCGTTTTTTGTTTGTTTGTTTTTTTGTTCCTGCATTATTAAAATGTTGATTTTTAGTAATTTCTTACCATGTTTTCTGTAATGCCTTCAGAAGCGGCCTAACTCAATATTTTGCTGTTATTGAGGTTTAGCTCAGTCCAAAGGGACAAACTTGATAAAGCTGTGTGAAAACAGGAAGCCCAGAATGAAGTCACCACCCTTTATTAATGAAAATTAACAGATTAGCCTCCTGGTTCTTTCTGCATCAAGGATTTTGCGTGTTTTGTACAGAATTATGGTGTTTTTAAGTCTTGTTTTGCCTTTTTACTTGCATGCCTACATGCATCCTATTTTTTTAGGGTGTCTCCTCATCAAATTTAAGTGCTCAGCGATAGAAAAGGTTGCTGGCAGAAAGATTGTTGAAGCTTTCTGATGCAAATCTGGATATTTCCCCCCCTAAATACTAGATTAAAATTAATTGCAAGGCTGCTGCTGAGTTGAAAGATTCTGACAAATAGCACAAACAAGCTGCAGGATTATCAATGATGGCAAACAAAATCTTAATAATACAAAGCATTGCTTCTGTCAGAATGACTCCAGTGTGTTAAAGGTGGGTTTAAAGGGCTCACTGTACCCCGATTGTACAAAGTGTAAATACTACAGTCCTCTGAACAAATGGAGTTCAGTTCAGCTGGCGTCCTTTTGTCACTCTGTGAAACAAGACTGTTTTAAAGCAGTCTGACTGCCAGTTGAAGCAGAGCTCAGTGGCTTTGACTATAATCTTTTCACCACTCGCACACACATCCAACTCAACAACAGAGAGTTTGGAGTCCTTTGGGACCAGTGTTGTCTGTTGATGGAGCTGTCGCCACGGAGCTCCACTATTTTCTTTTCAAGCAGGTTTATGGACGCCTCAGTTGGCTGATAAAATCCATTTCCGTGAATGGATGTCATGGGACGGAAAGCCGGCAGCGAGATCAGGAGGAAGGCAGATTAGGAAGGTCGTGAGCGGTAGAGCCTCTGTGATTTCCCCTGGATTCGGCTCATTTCGTTTTCAACATTTCATTCTCATTTCATTCTTTCAGCGTTTCCTCAAAGTTTTGATGGTGTGCTCTGTGGCCAATTAACAGCTGAAAGCTCCTGCATTCATGGGGTCTGAGGTACTCGGAGGAAATCAGGAATAATTGATTTTAGATGACAGAGAATTGGGAATGTGACAATTATGGGATTTTTCTCTGCACTGCTGAACTTTCTGACAGTATTTTACCTCCTTCCTGACTGCTTCCTCTCCTCGCTTTCATATTTTCTTTATCTTACTGTCACCTTCATTTCTGCGTGAACAAACCCCTGCTCCTCTGAAGATTATTAGACCACATCAGGACCGCTGTGGCTGACTGATTGAAAGGATTTGCACCATGACAGCCCATTTGAGGGATTTTGTGTGCATGAGTCAGATGAATGACTTATTACGATCCCCTCGGCGCACCTCCTTCACCACCTTTTAGAAGGAGCTCAGACAAAAGTGGGAGCCAAGTTGACGCACCTTCAGTGTTTGACAGTTCCCACGAGGGCTAGCACATGCTCAGAGGGGACGCAACAGAAATAATCAGCTCTTGCCAAAGTAAAATTGGCATTAAGGGAGCAAAATAGAGCTGTGAAACCCTATAAGAACTTTAAGGTTGGTGGAAGTGTCATATATCTCAAATGGATTAACTCCAGGAAATAATAAAACATGGTTTATATTATTTATATAGATTTTCCCATTTATAGTTCTTTTCCACTGGCCATTCACTCAAGTTCAGCAGAAATACTTTGAAATCTGTTGCTTTTGAAGATTTAATAGATTTTTTTTTGTCAAAAGAAAGAAGCATAAAGGACTTTGTTTCTTCTTTTCTATCACGTTGAGGGAGTTTAGGAGTTTTCACATTTAGGAATCTTTTTTTAATGCAGCCAACTTAAAAAAAAAAAAGCAGTTTTCATCAATCAAATATAATCTAGCAATATTTGTAACAGTTTGTTTTATGTTTGAATGTTATGCACCATTAAATGCTCGTCATTATGAGTTTTAGTTGTGTAAGTCACATGGTTTTTAGTCATGAGTCTTGAGTTTATCATTGTGCAAGTCTGAGAGGCACTAAAACATCTTGGTTAGGTTAGGGAAAAATATGTTTGGTTTACTATATACTACATGCGCCTACGTGCACTTTTTCATATGATTGCCAGAAATCTCCTATAGCAACAGGGTTCCTTTATATTTATCACCAATTACAGTGAATGATAACACATCTGCTGGACTATCATAGAGCTTCCAGAAGGGCTCCCACTGGATGTTCATATCTATGGAAGTGATTACAGTGCCATTCAATGGAATGACAACAATCAAAATGAGTGGTCTGACAAAGTACTGCATTTAGAATGATTAAAGAAACAAGCGCGAGCAATATATCCCCCACATATGAGAACATATTCCAGAACATTTTTCATGTTTATTTATTGCTGCACCTTCTACATGCTGGTCAAACTTGTGGCTACAAAACCTTTTGGCAGCTTTCCCAACACAGATTGTGTTTCAGAAACAATCCTGACTCAGAAGTGCATTAAACAAGTGCCGAGTTGTGTATTATCTGTTTCCCCATTATTTAAAGTGTCTGCACTTTTGTTAACTTTCTACTGTGTTATTATAGACAATTACTTTTCTTTATTTGTATGTGTGTTATATGACTGTAATGTATGTTGTGTATGGTGTATATATAAAAGCACACACACCCCATATAGAAAAAAAAAAAAAAAAGAGTATTTTCAGTTACAGTCATTTATATTTAGTGGTATTGCTTTTTTCTGGGAATGCCTTGGCAAGATTATTCTATAGAATCACAGGACTCTGTGCAGGACAAGTTCAATTCTGACACGATGACTGTGCCAAAGGCTGCAAAACAAGCCCAAATCATCATCACACCACCACCGTGCTTGACAGCTGAGGTGTTTATGCTGCTATGCCGTGTTTGGACATTGTTCCAGACGTCTTGTGGTTTGCTCAGATGCAACTTTGCAAACCTAAGTCATGCTGCTATGTTCATTTTAGAAAGAAGAGGCCTTCTTCTGGTAGCCCTTCCCAACAAGTCATACTTGTTCAGTCTGTTTATAATTGGACTGTCTTAACCTTAAAATGCTAAATGAGGCGGGCAGAGTCTCACACATTGCTCTTGGGGTTTAGGTTTTTTTCCCTGAGTTCTGATCTAGGGGGGAATTTGCTGAGAAGTCTGCATCCACCTGAATGCTTTAGACCAGCAAACTGCCAAAATTTCTGTTTTTGTGATCACACTTGCTAATGATAAAAAAGTCAAGTGCATTTGATTTGCAGCACCTGGCTGCTACTTGCCCCCTTAATAACTATGAAAGCAGTCATTTTTCACAGGATGGCATAAGGACCTGTGCAAACTTTGTTTTTCACATGACTACATGAAAATGGGGGAGCTGGGGTGGAGGTGGGTTGCAAAGCAGCTTGTAGAGACAGAGTTTAAGCCTAATTACACAAAGTCTAATTACCTGTCTGTGTGCGTGTAGGTGTACCTACTGTTAGCCTTGCATTTCGTGTAGTTTCTCTTTTGTCCGCACCTGCATGCTGCTGTGTTCATCTCTAATGCTATGCAACACCGAAGCCAGCTGTTGTCATGGTGTCAGCCTTGAGGGACTGCTGGTACTTTCTGTGAGAGCACACACACGGTTTCTCGTGCTAATGGCTTCACCTTTCTGCCCGTTTCTTGCCGCAGCCTTGTATGTGTGTGTAAATAGATTTGTGTTGTGCATGCCTATGCTCATAATGTAAGGAACAAACAGGCTCCCTGGAGAGTCACCTGTTTGCAGCACTGGAGGCAGGTTTTGATTGAAAAGAAAGCGCTAAAGAGTGTGACTGTTTACATTTGGAATCAGGAAAGCAGTTCAAAAGGTTTTATTCGTGTGATTCTTTTTAAATGAGAAGCGGAGAAAGGGTGTAAGTGAAAGAATGGCATTACCATGAAATTGGATAATGCTAGTAATGAGTGTCTGTCAGTGTTTTCTCAGTGCCTGTGTGTGCACTGGCGCTTGGTATAGACACACACATATACACCACCTCCTTCTCCTCTGCTCACCGTCACTCCTTTCCCCCTCTGTAAGAGGGTCTGGCGGAACAACATTGGCATTCATATCACAACACACACATACACATATCTTTGAAATGATCATATTTCACAATCTTTCCACTCATGCATTTGACTCCTGTCAGGTATGTCTGCTGTTTTGAACTGGCTTCACACCTCATCGATCTGGATTGCTTCACGTCGCAAGTGTTTGCTCGTTATATCGGCACGTAGCTCTTGTTTGACAGTCGTTGTTTGGTTAATGATATTTTCAGCCCTATGTTTGTATCCAACAGCTGCTGCTCTCACACATCGCACTCTTTGCAACATGTAAAGCCAGACCGGTCTCACAGGGCAGCATTGATCTGCGAAAGCCTCCAATATTTTACTGAGCAAATCCACTTTGTATCTCTTTCATATCTCTGTCGTCATCCTTGTGAAATCCTTCCACATCAGCTCATCTAATGTGTTTGAACTCTGCTGTTTAACTTTACCGGCTTTTCTTCTTTCTCAACTTCTCTGACTTTTTTAAGGTGTCACATTTTTAATCACAGACTACTGACGCTGTTCATTTTGTGTGTTTTCTTTCTTTCTCTTTTTTTTCAGGTTCCTTCAGCGTGGCGAACAAGAGGCTGCCTGTTTTCATCCGAGTGCGTCGGTGTGCTGTTTTGTGCGTGTGTATTTGTGTGCAGGGGTGTATGTGAGTCACAGGGTGAATATGCCAGTGTGAATGCCTGTATATACATATACATCCTGAACGGAGAGTGTTTGTCCCGTGAGGTGCTCGGTGGAGATGCAGCGAGGTGTGTCCTCTGTGGTGCAGCTGCTGCTGTTGCTGGGCTGCTTGTGTGCCGTGGCAACCGGCTACCTGTTCAGGACACCCCTGGACCTGGATGTGACTCCACGTGTCACTGTGCTAAACAGCGGTAAGGACAGACACGAACACGTGTTGCACCTTGCTTTAAAATCATCAGTACCGAAGTTTATTCCAACATTCATTAGTGAACTGTTAGAAGCGTTTTTTTTTTAAAACAAATTCAATAATCATGCAGAGTACAGGTTGGAAAATTGAACTTTTGAACTTTGTAACGTGTGGCGCCTGTTTCAACCAGCTGCTGAGACTTGGACAGCCTTCAGGAGAATTCTGGGATGTCGTAATTGACCAGCCCTGTTCAGGTCTAAATGGGGTTGAGGGCAGGGCTCTGACTTTGCCATTATAACACATGACTTTTCTGTGTTTTAAAGCATTCTGTTGTTGTTGTACTTACAGATTTTGGGTCATCTCCTTGTAGCATCACCTCAGGCCTAAGAAATCGCTTGATTTAGTTTTGAATTCGTTGTCCCATAAATTATAGCAAAGCGTCCAGCTTCTGAAATGGCAAGGGAACCCCAAACTGTGACATAGTGATGAGGTATTGGTTCTGGTGTGCAGTGCATTTCTTTTTTCCTGGTTTATGTGCAACTTTTTTTTTCTCATCATTATCTCAGAAATATTGCGAAGCAACATTTATCCCAGTTGTCTTTTGAAATCTTTAAGCGTTTTTTTTTTAAGCGTTCCTGCACAGCGTTATTAACACATAAACAAAGAAAGTAGCAAGTGAAGATTTCTGCCCTTTTTTTTTGTTTTGTTTTTACCTCTTTCAGAAATGTACATTGTGTTCTTGGTGTAATCTTTGCAAGACGCCCACTCCTAGGGAGTGTAGCAACACTCCTGGAGTTTCTTCATTTATAGACAGTTTGTGTTATTGTGGACCAGTTTTTAGAAATGAAGAAGTAAGCTTTTAAGAAACTGCTAATCTCTCTAATGCTCCTTTAAGTGTCCTGTAAAAAATGTTGTTTAAAGCTACCAGTTTTTCTTAATAAGTGCAGATTTAGTCAGAAATCAAACTTTGTGTGCCCTTATTAATAGGAAAAGTGTTTTCAACAACCCAGCATAGGCTGGATATATAAAATATCCAGTCTTAATAGTAAAGGTGTTTAAGGGCTTTAACTATCTGGTTGAAAAAAAGTTTGATCAGAATCAAAATGCTTTATTAATCCCTAAGGAAGATGTGTTTACAGTTGCTCTAAGACAATAAGAACAGTAACAGACTGAACTAAATTAAATAATACAATCTATTACAAAGTTTAAGAAAAAGGGTGTAACTACTGCTCTGTGTATGATAGAGGAGTCATGCAGGCAGGAATGATGTAATAATGGAATTATAATATAAATATATATTTTTGTCTCACTGTGAACACACGTGTTTCCATTTAAAGTAACAAGTTGCCACCATATTGTCAGATTCACCCCCAGCTTATCACTTATCTAATCTCCAAAAATGGCTCGAATGCTCATCTCAAGGCTTTGACTAGGAATTCCTAAACCAATGGGTGATATTTATGGAAGCCCGTTTCCGCCACTACAAAAAAAAAGGATCCATAACTCAAAATTTCAAGTTATTTTCTCGAAATTTCGAGTTAATATGTCGAAATTTAGAGAAAGTAACTCGAAATTTCGATTTATTAACTCAAAATTTTGAGAAAAGTAACTCGAAATTTCGAGTAAGCACTGCCAATCAGTAATCTACGTGAATGATGTCATTTCCTTGTTACCCGGAAGCTGAAGCCCTCAGCTACAAATGCTACAGCTAAGCTACCGGTATTACATCCAGTCGTGAATGCACAGATTGCTGAGTGTTTTCAGCGTGGCTTCACAAATGATGAAATCCCTGTGTTTTTAGCTGAATCACATGGCGTTACTATCAGCAAACGTACTCGCGAAAGCGCCAATTTGTTGGGATCCGTTTTTGAGTGCACGTTCCTCTGCGCCAAATGCTTCCGGGTAACAAGAAAGCGACTTCATTCACGTAGATTTTTGATTGGCAGAGCTAACTCGAAATTTAGAGAACATAACTCGAAATTTCGATTTATGGATACTAGGTTTTTTGTTTTTATTTAGTGGCAGAAACGGGCTTCCATAGATATTGCCTTGGCACAGGGGTTCACTTTTGTTATTCATCCTGAACTGATCACCCGTTGTAAAGATGTGAAAATGTACCACTGACTGAGATGTAAATCAGACCACATTTTAATGACTAATTGCTGCAGAAATCCTTGGATTTCCAAGCATTGCACAAACGTTTGAACTGTAGATAAATAGCTGAAGATGACTCATAACTCCGTATTTATTTCGCTCTTTACTTGCAGTCATCAGTCATCTTTTTTATTAGAAAGCTGCTGATTGTTTTCTAAAAGTAGACTTTTACAAAAAAACTCCTCACTTGTCCCTTTTTCTTTCTCTGCCCCTTTCTCCATCTAGTTTTCTTTCTTCTCTTTCATAGCATTTTATCCCTCATTATCTCCCGAAGCAATGCTTTTCTGTTTCTCTCCACTCGCTCCTCTATACCTCAATGTGTGCACACAGAGTTTAATATACCCTCACTTTCCTCTAACACCTGCTTCTTCTGTTAACCATGAGGATTTATTTTATCCGGCTGTGATTATTATTTACTTACCTCATGAGTGATGGCATGTAGCCTGAGGTGCTGCAGAGACAGAAGCAGATGAGTGTACGGTGTACGTTGGGCTCCCTGCGGAGCATCCAGGGCGCCCGACACCGCCATAGGTAGTTGAGAAGCACCGTAACCATGACAACTGTTGTGGTATTGCACAAGTCGACGGTATAGAGCATTTTTTCCTTTAGTTCACGTATGGCAAAGCGTGCAGTGCCGTCTGATCCCGGACTTTATTTGTCGACGCACAGATGTGTGCAAGAAATTTTCTCACGTTTCCACTTTGAATGGCGCCCACATTTCCTTCTGCTAGAAATACTCACAAAGCAGTATCACTCTTCTTCTTTTTCTAAACAGTTGTACTTCACAAAGCACGTCACCTGCTTACACTCATCCCATGCCCATCTTTTTACAATTCTTGATACGTTTATATCTCACTTTCATCATCAGTTTAATCATCGGTTTGAGCTCACTCAAGCCCACAGGTCCTCCCACACAGCTCACCCCCTCACACTTCTATCCTCTTCCCCCACCTCTCCTCATCGCTCTGCCTTTACACTTAAGCTCTTTTGCCTGATTTTTCTTCATTAGTTTGTACTTTTTCTGGTTCACTGCCCTCTTTTTCCATTTCTTTATATTGCCTCCACCTTTTATTTATTTATTTTTTTTCTTCGGCGTCCCTCCTACTGATGGGAAGCCTTCGATATGCAAACTTACCTCTAATCCTTTTAATCGCTGTGTTCCCTGGCAACCTAAAGTCAAAGCTACAGAAACCAAAAGGGGCAAGAGAAGTTACACATACATCTACAGTGACTCCCAGTCTCTCATGCTTGGGCTTAAACGTTCCCTTTTTTTTCTTAAACAAGGTTAAATCATTCAGGTGTGTTTAAAGATAATTAATTTGATGTCTTTCGGCACTCAGACAGTTTGGAGCAGCTGAAAGATTAAAAGCTGGCACCACAGTGAAGGGCCATGGTGCAGAAAACACTAATAAATTGGCAGTACATGTAAATGCACTTTTATTACACCCACTGAGTTAACCTGTTGGGTATTTCGGGAATTTGCCTCCTCTTAGACGCTCGTATTTAGGAATGTTGCACACATTTTATTTGTCTTCTCTCAGCCATAAACACGCCTGAGACTTGGTGTAAGTTTGTATGCAATTCCGTCGCCACGTCACAGTCCAGCGCCTTGATGTTCATAGAGTATGCTGGCGTCCCTGAACACAACGTGCTGTACAATCAGCTGAGATCCCTCCAAGTGTTTGCTGAGTGAATAACAGTATCTGAGTTCGCACCTTTTCTTTCCCTGTAGACTAACTCAAATGTGCCTGTTCTCACCCGATCTTGTAAGCCGAGGCTAACCTGTGACTCGGGATGTTATTTCATTGTAATAAATCCCAGATAAACCCTCCCTCTGCTGCTCTGTTTCCAGTTACCTGGCACGCCTGTCGCACAAGCTTACACACACAGTTCATTGTGTGCCCTAATGCCTGGATTACACGCTTGAAACGTAGGCACTGTCTCTGCAATAACTCATTGTATTTACTCACAATGAGGTACTAGTATCACATAGGAAAGGTTGCTACTCTGAAAAGACCGTACGGATGATAACCTTTCTCCTCCTGCTGAGAATAGGAGAGAAAAGCAGGCGCCTGATCACCAGCTTGGGATGGCATCTGACTTTTGCTGCTGCTGAAGTGAGCAGAGTGGATTGTGTTTCGCAGCAGCTGATAGGAATCTTAATGACGGCTTACTTTGAGCTAACCATGCAATCTTCAGGGGAAAGTGAATTGGCTGAGGATCCAGGAAGTCTGGCAATTTAAAATTTGTCTCTCGTAGTCAATAGCAGTCATAAAAAGCGGCTCACTTCTACATTTATATGGCTTAATTATTGTGCTGATTGTAAAACCTGCACAGGCACGTCAGATATCTTAATTAGATGTTAAATAAAAAAGGTGCATCACAATGGTAGTCATGTACTTGGGCTCTTTGTTTCCAAGAAGTGTAGGCATGTGCAAGGGTACTCACAGTGGTGTTAGACTACTGATCAACTGCACCATGCAGCAGCGTGAGCAAAACGTCTCCTCGTCAAGATCTAACTAACTGGTGAACTGTTCCTTTAAATACTTCAGAAAGTGAGGTCCCATTTATAAACAAACAAACAAATAAATTAAAAGAATACCTCAAGTATTTCATGAACAAGTCTGTGTGGTAGTTTATGAAAACTGTGACCATGTGTAATCATAATTTGTCTAACATTCATGCTTTAAAATTGATCAGAAAACATCAACGACTGAAAAGCAGACAAGAAAAATCTGTTTTGCTTTAGGAAAGACTAATTTTCAACTTCATGCTTTTAATGACACCAAAATAAAATCTGGGACAACTGGGCCGCTCAGGGCTTAACCTGAGGATGGAAAGTGTTTAACAAATCATTTGAGTGTAACGCGGTGACTATCACAGCTCATCTGTTTGTGTGTATGAAAGTCACAACCGTCACCTTAAACCCTTTTCTACCTCAGAGTAAAGATACAATTTAGTATTCAACGAGTGCAAGAAAACCTGCGAATTCTTACATTGATAATACTGGAACCACCAGATTTTTGGGGGTATTTGTTTTAGCAGACCTGGTGATAGGATTGTGTAGGCTGTTGATCCATTGCTTTGCCGCAAGACTTATGAAGTATTCATGGTATTAAAGTGAAAGTATTTGATGTATTTTCTTAAAATTTGTTTTCTGTTCACGGCTATTTTAAGTGTCATTCTGTTTGTGTGTGCTCTAGTGGTTTTTCTTAGTCACAGCTTGGCATAAAACTTCCCGAATAGATAAAGAGTTAACGATCACTAGCTCTAAGATATATATACCACAAAACGAATTTCTTTCCACAGGCTATCACTCGATCATTAGATCACTAGATCACTCGCATATTGTCTCTGCTTAAACATTCACCATACCTGCTACACAACCAAAGCCTGATGCATGTCTTGTTGGTTGTATATACCAATATACTGTCAAGTTTAAATCTATATACTGTATCTATAGCAACAAGTTATCCATCCTTCAATTATTCCATAATTTATTCCAACATCTTTGCAGTCTGGACTATGCTGTACATGTTGGTACTGTCTGTGAAGAAGGCAAAGAAGAACATGTAGCCCAATTCCTTGTATTTGTGCACATTCCTGGCTAATAAAGCCGATTCTGATTGCAAAGAAGTTTTTTTTTTCAGCCACGACACCAGCAGATTGAAATTTAACAGTTGTCTCTACCTCACTTAAAAAAAAAAAAAAATCAACGTTTTTCAAAGAACTCTCTCAAAAATCAAAGAAGAAGGTCTTCTTACCACTTTGCCCCAGTGTTTGAAAAATCCCACAGCAAAGAAATCCATCAAAGAAGATAAAATTCTGTTTCACCTTTTACCTCAGACAGTCAGGTTTGATTGAAAACGCTATCACTCTACAGCTTTTAATATGTCCCGCTGTGATGGCCACGACTTTCTAAAGGCTTTCAGGGACAGTGTGGCTTCATTCATTATTTTTGCTTCAATTTATCACCTAAACATCCAAATGGCACTCGAAATTGCTTGATTTTGACATACAAATTACAGTAATTGGTTCTGAAAATACTTCAGCAGACAATTTTGCCCATTGCTGGGAATTTCAGGATGGGTAACTGTGCACAGAAGATGCCTGTACCTACAGTTGTTCCCATAGAGACGGATGGTGTTCATGCTGAGATGTACCCAGGTGGTAATATGTAGGCATACATACATGGTTATGGTTGATATCACCCAAAAAAAAGGTGGTTAAACCTACCAGTCCTCCAATGGATGGCAAATTATTCTTTGTGCCAAACTGCTGTTCATATAATAAAGAGTATGTTTGACCAATTAATGTCTCTAAAGAGTTTTTAAGGTCATTAGGAGCCGTTATACATTTAGAAAAAAAAAAGTAGTGTTAAGGAGTTACAGAAGGCCACAATCATTAACGTCCTCTCTCCTCTACTCTCCTAGGTCTCCGAGGCTGCAGGCATTTCCAGTCGTCTGCAGTCAACTACAGCACCATGTTGCTGGAGGCTGACAGTGAGCGTCTGTACATCGGGGCCCGTGGGGCCGTATTCGCTCTCAATGCCTCTGACATCTCAGCCAGCTCTGCTCTCAATGTGAGTTTGTTTGTTTGTTTTCCATCTTGCTGCATGTTGTGTGCCTCAGCTGCCACATCCTTACCTCTGCCACAGCCTCATTTGCATTCAACATCGCAGGAACCTTTTGAGGCAACAATATTTCAGTCTGAGGCAAAAACATTCCTCTGTCACTAGTTTTGGTTCTGTATGTGTGTGTCTGTGTGTGTGTGTAGTTGTATTATTTTTAACACAATAACTCACAGGACTATCTTGCTGCATAAATTAATACATTAAATAGAAAACGGTGAAGAATCAGCTGCTGGATCATCTCACTTTAAATAGATCCAGAATTTATGGCGATACCACTAGTGTATGTTGACACAGAAATAGTTTCCTAATTCATGCAGTAATTAGCATAACTTATAGATCATTTCTGTGCTGCTTTTTACACTCACAGACTTTAAAACTGTTCCAAATGCAAAATTGTGAATATCCATCTCAACTCTGGGATCTTTCGTTAGACATAAATTGCTATTACAGCCCGAACAAATGGTCTTTTTTGGACAAAGAAGCAAATTCAGATGCTAATTAATATCATGGGCTAATATAACTGTAGGGTTGGTGACTGTAAGACATTTTCCTTTTATTATCAACATCAAATTTGTAATTTTCGTTCTGCTAACCCCATTTTTTGCACCATTAACGACTGAAGTTAATTCATCTGTGAAAAAATATATCTACAGCTTTGTTAAATGGCTATTCAGAATTTTACATGCTCAGCTATGGAGCACCCCGTTGCTTTGCTGCTTTCACAAAATAATGCAATTTTGTTCATATGTTAAGCAGTCTTGAAATATTTAAAAGCAGTAGGAAGCACATACGCTTTCACACAGGTACGGCGGCTGTTGTTCATAAAGAAGGCATCAAATTTTCATCATAGTCGCTTTTGTATTTCTGACAGGGAAGCTGCAGCGAGCGTATCTCCTGCCCTCTGTGAAATTTCGAACATAACTCCGAGACCTGTATTCAATCAAATATTCTTAGCATTACCCCACCAGGACCACTAGAGTTAAAATCAGCACTCTTAAATATTGCCTTCAGTTTGTGTCGACTCTCAGCACTGTGCGCTCTAGAATAAGGTAATTAGTGTTGACTGTCTTCAGTAAGAACTGAAAACCCTGCTCCATGTGTCTTTTGCGCATCTAAAAAGGAGTTTACTGTTAATCATTTCATTAAATGTAAAACCTCATTCATCACTGTTGGACATTTGCAGGGTTGGTTAGCAGAGCACGAATATGCGAATATGCACAGGCAGTAGTAATTGCCCGTGGCTAGACACTACTTGGACTTCCTTAATAGGAACTCATCTACATTACAACTTTGGAATTGCTCTTTCCACACAAAGAGGTGACTGACTGGTACGCTATGGAAAAAAATTGAAAAAAGTCAAAATATCAAGGCAACATGATTTAATAGATTTTTCTGCACTGGTGTTGACTTTACTTTGAAAGTGTTCAGGAAACTTGACTCGTCCTCTTCAGCTACTTGTTACTAATACTCCTGTGAGGTCAACAGTAAAATTCAAGCTTCAGCGCCGTGTGTTATACCTTCACAAAACACATAAATTCTTGTTGAGTAAACAGACTCAACATGAAACCTTTTCCGTGTAATTTTCAACTCCTATTTGGACCATATTTATCTAGCAGGGGTTGTGACACCCTGCATAAACCTGTCTTTATGTTTAGTCCCAGTTGTGAAAGGTGGGAATTTTGCTTCTGAGGCGAATTCGGGAAGTTTTATGCCAACCTCTACACCAGTGCAAAACATAATGTTTCAGCTGACTTTCAGCAGTGTCCTCTTCAGTTTATTTATTCATTTCTTACATATTTATAGAAAGTTATAGCAACATAAATGTCTTTGGAAGGTTCATTTATTTTGACAGTGTAAGAGTTAGCATGCTTGTTAACATGTGAAAGGTTCCCTCTTTGCAGCTAAGAAGAAACACAAACTAAGCCTTGTGTGTGGGAGTCATAAAATAGTGTCCTCTCACTGCAGGTATCAAACCT